GCTTTCAGTGGCTGTCTATCCATCTCTTCGTCTCTCATTTTGATGACTACTTTCCCGATGTGTTTACCGGTTGTCATGAATCGGAACGCCTTCTCGGCCTCCGAGGCATTAAATACCTTATAATTGATTGGTTTTACGCAACCATTCGTACAGTTCTTATGCATCCAATCGTAGAATTCTTGACAAAAATTCATATCGTCTATAAGCTTAACGTCCAGTACTACTGATAGGAACTGTATATCCCTAACGAAGTCAAACATTCCCAGTTTTTTATTCTGGATCATATCAAAACGTCCCAACTCTACAAATCGACCACAATTTGCCACACATTCATAGCTAGCGTCCAGTTTGTCACCGGACAGTGAGTTCAGTACGATATCAACTCCCCGGCCATTCGTGGCTTCTATGATATGATTCTTGAAGAGAATATCTCTTGAGTTGAATATCCGGTTCACAGGAATGTTATACTCCTTCACAAGGAATTGCTTTTTCTCTTCCGTCCCAACCGTCACATAGATATCGCACCCGTAGTGGAGACACATGTTTATAGCCGACTGTCCCACACCTCCAGCAGCCGAGTGAATTAAGATGCTTTCACCTAAACATATAAATTAAATGAATTTAAACCAATTTTTAATTTATATAAATTCAAACCTTTCTTAATCTGAGCCTTTTTGATGAGCGCGTAATACAGTGTACTATAAGTGCTGAGTGTAGTCACCGCCTCAGCCATAGACCAGTGCTCGGGAATGGGAGTCATGCTATTGATACTGGCGTTGGTTGACGTGGCAAACCCTCGGCCCATATTCATACCCATCACACGTTCCCCGGTATCTACTCTACGGCCAGCAAATTCACTGCCAAGCGTACAATCAGAGAATAATACTTCTGGCCCTGGTGGTATGCGACCTTAATATTTCAATAACTTTTTAATATGTATATTGATAATGGTGTTTTTTAATAATATTACCTGTTGCAATCATAACATCATGGAATGAGATACCGGAGTAATATATGTCCACTTGAGTTGCTTTAATGAATTTATTGCTAAAACTAACTTGTTCATTGACAACAGGTATTTTTCTGGAGTCATACCATTGCAATCCCAATATATCCCTTTTTTGACCCGTATTCAAGTAATAGTCATTTGAGAGGCATTTGTCGTAATCCGTGGGAAGTCTTAAGTGTCGATAAGTTCCCACTTTTCCCTCTTTCACGACATTCGCCACCAAATCGTTGGCCAATATATCGCTATAAGGGCTGACATTGAAGTCTATATCCATTGGACTACCAGTGCTGTCGTAATTGAAAAGTGTCGATAAGTTCCCACTTTTCCCTCTTTCACGACATTCGCCACCAAATCGTTGGCCAATATATCGCTATAAGGGCTGACATTGAAGTCTATATCCATTGGACTACCAGTGCTGTCGTAATTGAAAACATATCTCCAGTTCTCTCCTCCCGATTCTAATCGCAAGCAATTCATGAGACCTATTATGCCATTAATGGACGAGTCGTTTGCAATAAGCCATACGTTATCAGTCTTATTGTCCGCATCCTTAGCGGTAATCATTTTTTGTTGCAATACTTCAAACCATTTCTGATAATCACTTCCCGTTATATTAATTATATTACTTTTATCGGGAATCGGTATATCGTTCACAACTTTTCTAAATAGAAAACATACAGTTCCTATGCCATCATATTTAATGCATATTTGTTTAAAACCAGTTTCATTACAAATTGTATTAAACAGTTTGATACGACTCTCAAGGTATTCATTATTGGAAACAGCCTTTCCGTTCAATGAGTTCAATGCGAACTCCGGTTCCGTAAACTTATAGCGGAATACCGTTAATAGGAATCCGTTTGATTGGATCGAGTCATACAAGTCTTGTATAAATGTCTGCAAATCTATTGGCCATAAGTCCGGTGTGTCTCTCATTATCACCAAATGTGACGGTTTTAATGATAGGCTTTCCTTCACATCCCATACCGTGGCATCGGATCTATATTCTTCAATCACGTCTTGTTTAGATTTAACTCTTAAACTATAGTCATTAACAGCAGGTAAATATCGGAAATATGTTATAAACTGATCCACGTCTTTAACCAACAAATTGGCGCTCAAATTAATTTCTGCAATCCTTTTGCCTTTAATGTTAACAAAGTTTTCGCAAACGATGTCAACAAGAGATCTAATCATTCGTTCATTCCTTGAGATCTGGTTTATTAAGTCATTACTTAAATCGTATTCAGGATTCCTTTGTATGTTAAGCAAAATATTATCCAAAACTTGTTTATCATTAATGTTATTATTATTATCGCTGATTTCTGACAGCATTTTATCAAATATGTGAAACATAACGTGATTTTCATTGTTTGCATTTCTATACTCTTCTATCACTTCGTCGCTAATCGACTGGTAATTGAAATCGCATTTCATTTGTTTGAAACCCATTTGTTTGACTTTAGCGGCCATAGCTTTGCAAACCTAATATAAGATAATAATTACAATTATCAAATAACTTGAATATAAATTATAATTTATAAACCTCTATATATTGTAAGGTTTTCTCAGCCACAGGCTTATCGATAGCATGTACAATGAATGAAATGAAAGAAATGATGAAAACATTGGAAGGAAAGGCAGTATTTGTGAGACAACTACAGAGCAGTGAAATCCCATATCATTCACAATATCTCATATCCAGTGCACAGCCTATGACTGAGACCATCAAGAAATACATACCGAACCCTAAACTTAGATCAAGTAAATGGTTGTCCACTTCTATTATTACCAAGATACAAGAAGACCACTTAAAGTATGCATCGGCCGAATACTTTACATACAATCTGATCAACCCTGTTCATTTTTATGAAAAACTACTTGAACTTCCAAAAGATGCGGTAGTCCTAGAGATAGGTCCGCACTCACTGTTCGGCAAAATAGTGACCGAAACACTTCCCAACTCTACGTACGTATCGCTCATTAAAAAGGACTCAAACGATACAAATCTGGATATGTTTTTGTCCGGATTGGCAACACTTTACGAATTGGGTTACAATCTGTCGATCGATAACCTATACCCCCGAGTCGTGTGGCCGGTATCAAGGGGTACGCCGTCTATTGGGTCACTCATCAAATGGGATCACAGTCATGAATATCCAACTATTAAATACGATACATGTATCAGAGCAAATTCATCAGACATGACATTTAAAATTAATTGTCGCTCAAATGAAAACCAATTTTATCTGGATCATTGCGTCGATGGAAGGCCTATATTCCCGGCCACAGGTTTTTTAATGTTGGCCTGGCGTAAATTGGCCGATGATATTAGCAAACTATGGATACATGTGCCAGTTATATTTGAACACGTACATTTTAAGCGTGCAGTATTTTTATCGGCTAATTCACCTACGATTCTTACAGTTAAACATAACAATATTACAGGTATTACATAATTATTTATTTAACATTATGTAACATATTTCAAATATTTCAACAATCTAAATAACGACCATAAATTAACTCTTACAATAAGCTCTTTTAAAGTACAACAAAACAACAAATCTTAATCTTTACCTTAAATCTTATACATCATGGATTTTAATGTAATGTGTTTTCTATTATTTTTATAACTGAAACAATACAATTATAGTTAACTTAAGTTAATTTGTAGTATAATAATTATTATCTAATTTTTAAATAATTTTTTTAAAATCCAAGATGAATTTTCAATATACGAAAATGACAACCTATGCGTTGCGGGCAAAATACGGACTCCCGTGGGAGATGACACCCTTTTAAATCAGTACAGGTTGGGAACCATTACTGAAAACTTATATGCACTGGAAAGGGGTGACATCTATAAGGAGTTACGTGTTATGGGTCTGGACTACGGCCCCAAATTTCAACGACTGTCCAAAGTGTCTACAAACGATTTTAACCTAATGAACGGCCGGTGCGAATGGGACGGTAACTTTGTCACATACATGGACGCCTTGTTACAATCCATGGTGTTTGCAATACCCTTGCGTCAGCTACGGGTGCCGGTAATGGTGTGCGAATTGCGTGTCGACCCCCGGGTGCTATTTGACGCCATTCGTCGGCACAAAATGGATAACAAATTGACACCAGAGAGTGAGATAGTGACAGATGAGCATGATACAACTGTTGGACTAACAACATTACCGGATTATGAGGTTGGTATCGAAAGTAATACACATCGGGACAGGTTTGCCATCTATAAGGCTGACATACCATGGATTTTGGATATGGAGTACCAGTCGTTGACAGCGCCTGGCGTTGAGGTGTCAGGACTCATGACAAGCCCGATTGCCCGACGCTCTAACGCTACGAATTTGGTGTTAGATTTGTATACCTATTGTCCTAACGATGACATTGAGGCCATCGATCGATACATTTCCACACCTATTGTCAAGTATTTAGAGGTGAGTCTCTCTCTCTCTCTCTCTCATGATATTAAATATCGGAAAATTATATATTTGTTAGGTTTGCAAATTAATGGCAGTTAAAGCAAAGCAATTGGGTTTCAATGAAATGAAATGCGATTTCAATTATAAGTCGATTAGCGATGAAGTGATAGAAGAGTACAGAAATGCAAACAATGAAAATCACGTTATGTTTAGAGTTTTCGATAAAATACTCGGGGTAATCAATGATTATAATAATAATAGTAATAAAATTATTACTACTGAACATATTAGTAATATATTGAAGGAAATTCAGACTAATCCTGAATATGATTTGAGTGGAGATCTAATAAACCAGATCTCAAGGAATGAGCGAATGATTAGATCTCTTGTTGACATCGTTTGCGAAAACTATTTGAACGCAAAAGAGATAAAAGTGACGGAAATTAATTTGAGTCATAATTTGTTTTACAACGAAATAAATCAGATTATCCTTCGTTTCTATTTAAAACACGTGGCCATCGACTATAATCTTATTGTCAAATCAATCAATGATTTTAAACATATTAATAACATGGTTGTTAAGCAATGGGATGTAAAGGAAAGCCTAACACTAAAACCGTCACATTTGGTGGTAATGAGAGACACACCGGACTTATGGCCAATAGATTTGAAGACATTTATACAGGATTTGTATGACTCTATTACCGACAATGGATTCCTATTAACGGTATTCCGCTATAAGTTTACGGAACCGGAGATCGCATTGAACTCATTGAACGGAAAGCCGTCTCTAAATAATACAGAATTGAATTCACGTTTAAGACAGTTTAAATCAATTGCAATAAATGTTGGATTCCTACTGATTGGCAACAAATACGATGGCATCGGAACAGTAGCTCTTTTATTGAGAAAAGTTCAAAAAGACATTCAAATTCCGGATATAAATAATATAATTCATATTAACAGCGATTATAAACAATGGTTTGAATTATTGAAAGAAAAGGCAATACGAGCCATAAATGAGGAAAATTATACACAAAACGTATGGCTTATAGCTAACGACTCGTGTATTAATGGTATCATTGGTTTAGTGAATTGCTTGCGATTAGAACCGGGAGGAGAGAACTGGAGATATATTTTCAATTACGACAGCACTGGTAGTCCAATGGATATAGACTTCAATGTCAGCCCTTATAGCGATATATTGGCCAACGATTTGGTGNATATTGGCCAACGATTTGGTGGCGAATGTCGTGAAAGAGGGAAAAGTGGGAACTTATCGACACTTAAGACTTCCCACGGATTACGACAAATGTCTCTCAAATGACTATTACTTGAATTTGGGTCAATCCAGGAATTTATCGGGACTTCAATGGCTTGATTTAAAAAAAATACCAGAAATTCAAGAACTGTTTGATTTGAATAACAGGAAATTCAATCAAAAACGGGTTGACATCTATTACTCTGGCTTAAACTTTCGAGATGTTATGATTTCAACAGGTATATGAAAAATAATTCAATAAAGTACGCCTTAACTTAATTTATTTTGTTTGGTCCAGGTCGAATACCCAATTACTCTGAGCAATTAGATAATGACTGCTCGATTGGGTGCGAGTTTGCTGGGCGTAGGGCTGACACCGGAGAAAGAGTGATGGGCCAGGCTATGGGGAGGGCTATATCTACCAGTATTAATGCTAATATAGATTCTATGACCACAGTTCCCGAGCACTGGTCTATGGCTGAGGCGGCGACCATACTCAGCACTTATAACACATTGTATTACGGGCTCATTAAAAAGGCTAATTTGAAACATGGTTTGCATATTAAATATTA